AGAACCATACAATTGTAGAAAACTCTCTTCCCTAAGAGTCATGGTTTCCCCAGAATAATATTTTTACCAGGAAAACATAAAATAAATATTTGATATCTGACTTGATCCCAGGAACTGAAGGACTCAATTGCAGGAATATAGGTGTGTGCCTTTTTGATCTTCCTATGAAGGATGATCCTTAATATTACTTTGGAAGCCAGCTGCAGAAATGTAAAATGGTTTTATCCCAATTTGTGATGAAGAGGGATGATTAATCTTGACTAGGTAAATAAGAAGATACGTGAGCATACACACTCACGAGCATACATACCCACTCTGTTAAACTTTATACATGCACATTTTGGATCAGACCCAATAGACACTTAAGTCTGCCCCTTCAGAACAGGTATTTAGAAGGGAAAGTTCTGGTTTGGTTTGTCTGCCTTGAGCTATTAGGAAACTGGACCGGTTCCCAAAGACTGCAAGGTTTAGGCAGTGGGAGAATGACTCTGCTTCCTTCTTTTCAGCCTAAAGCAATTTCTAGCTGTCGGAAAGTTGAAATATTGGACAAAATTATACTACCTAAGTTAAAATAAGCACCCCTGAAAACAGATCACTGTATATATTAAGCTACATTTATTGTGTGAGAGTTGATACTCCCATTTCCATGTCTTATAAACTGGCCTTGGAATCTTCACTGAAAATAAATTCATCATTAATACGTTTTTGGCTATTTGTTTTCATTGGTTGATATGTAGACTACCGGCATATTCCCAAAGCCATTACTCTCTAAGATTGCTACTTCCAGAAACATCCTCAACCAACCCATCAGTAGAAACAACTAAACGCTTAAAAACAATAGTTGTTTGGGGTATCTAGCAACTATGGAGTTTGACTTAAAGTTGACAATACGCTTTAAAAAAAAGTCCTTTACTTACACGTGATCAAAAAAAAGTCCTTTACTTACACGTGATTTTATTTGATCCACGTAGCGACCCTGTAAAATACACAGGGCATGTATTATAGTATTCACCATTTTACAGATAATAGGTATAGCTAAAATCTGAGTATTTGTAACCCTTTACATTTGGTGTGGCTTGAGTGTGGTACTGGGGATATAAGATGTTTTAAAAGGTGTAATTGGCCGGGCACAGTGGCTCACGCCTGTAATCCTAGCACTCTGGGAAGCCGAGGCAGGAGGATCACTTGAGGTCAGGAGTTCAAGACCAGCCTGAGCAAGAGGGAGACCCCCGTCTCTACTAAAAAATAGAAAAATTAGTTGAGCATGTGGTGTGGGCCGGTAATCTCAGCTACTTGAGAGGCTGAGGCACAAGGATTGCTTGAGCCCAGGAATTTGAGGTTGCTGTGAGCTATCATGACACCACTGCACTCTACCTGGGGTGGCAGAGCGTGACTCTGTCTCAAAAAAAAAAAAA